AATCTACAAGGTTGTAGGCACTTTCTGGCCCTGTAGCCGAACATTTGATGATACCAACATATCGCGGGAGTTGTGCGTCGTCTAGAAGTTGACCGGGTCCTTTCACGCGAACGATCTCGCGATGACCTTCGTGGCTTTTCTCTCTGCGTTAACTCTGAGAGTTTTCGGCACAAAACATTTATTTCCTTCTGTAGAGTATCAAGTCTATCGTCTACCGTCACATTGTGTAGTGGAGGGCTTGCTTGCTTGCTTCTTTCGTATATTCTATCGGCTATCTTTGCTATATTGTCTAAATCAGCATCCGTATCTCCCACAGCTAGGATCTGCTGTATATTTGCAGGGAGTCGGCGGAGCCACAGTTGATAAAAGAGATTATTGTCAATGTGTCTATCGCCAAGTAAACTTTTCATATAATTTTTTAGTTGTGATGGGGTTCTATCTCCATTTGTACTTGGTTAAGAAGTTGTTCGACGGCTTGTTGGTCACTGAGAGAGAGAGTTTTAATTACAGCCTCTTTTAGCACGTCGTATGGTTTTTCTGTGTCTGGTTTTGCTAGTGCCTCTCGAACGCTGTCAGCTACTTCGTCTGGGAGTAGTGTGCTTGTCAGGCCGAACTTATCCTTTTGCAAAAGAATGCGGTTAGCGAGAAAATAATTTTCAAGTCTTATAAACCAAAGTTTTGGGTCTGCGATTTTAAAAGAAGGGGCAGGGAGGTTAAGAGACCTCACGGACGAGGCTTGCTGTACGCTTGAAACTGTGTTTTCATAAGACATGCTTATAAAAATTAAGTAGCACACGAAAATACTTTAACAATCACAAGGAAAAATAGACGGGTGAAAACAATGATAATAAAAAAATGGCACAATTTATAAAATGGAACAGACTTACTAAATTGCACCAATATATCAATTGTTTATGAATAATTGTTATTTATTATGATTATAATTGTCACGTTTAATGTTTGCGAAATAATGTAAGTGTAATTAAAATAATAATATAAATCCACAGTTGTAATTATAGTTCATTTAATAATCCAAATTGAGATGAAGGTAGTCGGATTTTTGGAATTTGATTATTTCGTCAAAATTCGCTTCCCGTTCTCACGTCGGGATTACCAATTCTGTAGTGGCTGTGCTTCGTTAATTAATCACCCTCGAACCGTTATCGTATAATCTTCAACGATGTTTGAAATCAGAAGGCAAATAGAAGCAGCTACTACAGTTTATTTAGTAGATAATTCGGACCAGACAGCAGAGAGGCAAAATGAATGAGCAAGCGAACTACGATTGTAGCAGTAGCAAGTAGTTGTAGTAGTAGTAGTAGTGGAAGTAGTGAATGCATGCAAATGTACACATATATATATGTATAGGAAAATGGATGAGTCAGCGAATAGATTAAGCAGTTAATAATGAAGCTAGCAGAATGAATACATGCGTAGGCGCTAAACAATGTTCAAGCATATGTATTTCATACAAGCATAATAATAAAGATAATACAACAAGTTGTTATATCATGGATGACTTTGTCCATTAAATAGGTCAACAAAAGACCTTGACTGAACTAAACTCAATTGCACGTGAGTCACTATACATCCTTTTACATGAACGTTATAAAAAGTTCCGAGAAATCTCAGTTTTCTTGCTAACGTATAGTATTAACATGAAGGATCACTTCTTTGTTAATTGATAAATAATCATCGATAGAATTCCCAAATTCAGAACAAATTAAATATTTAAGTAAAATGTACATTACAATATTTAGTTCTGAGACATTTGAAATGAGGATGATAGAATTATCTAAAATTTTGATGATAAATCAGGTCAGTGTATTCATAGTTGTAGTTAACACTGTTGATATCAGCAAAGATGAGTGATGGATAGAAGTGGAATTCAGGACGCGCATTACGTTTTGTTTGAGACTCGTCAGCTGGATGATCAATTGCAATCCTAAATATCAATGAAAAGACTTAAACGAACAATGCAATATGAATTGAACCTCACCCTATTTCACAAGTTGCTTAAGATAACGTGGTGGCGTTTCAAGAGAACGGTACTAGGTTCGAGTCCCGGACTGGACATCAACTCCGGGGTCCAGGCACGCCGAGCTGACGAGTCCCAAACTTAACAAAACTTGAGTCCTGGATTCCACTAATAGCTACCATTCATCTTTGCTTACAATGTTTGTGACTTAGGGCGATATCGAGGAAATCTGTACAGGATGTATATATATCATTAAGAGACTGGTCAACTGAAGTCCTAAACATAAATGAGAATATTCAAACAAGCAATACAAAAGGAACCTTTATTATCAGTTTTAATTTCTTAATACCATTACATATATCTAATACGTAATCAAACATGCTTACAGGTCATTGCCCAATTTTAAAAATGACAAGAAGAACTTAAACTATTTAGAACTGTAGTCAAGAATTTCATATGCATATGAACATATTGTCAGATCCCATTCATTGCCGCATTTTTAACTGAATGCATTTATGCTTATAAAATTTCAATACAGTAATGTATCATCGGACAACGCAATAATAAGACACTTTTCGACGCAAATCTGGTTCTTAAAACTTCTACTAAATAATAACAGTAGTATTTTAATATTTTAAAACAAGATACGATTAGAGTCTAATTAATTAATAATTCTCCTAATACAATTGACAAGTGAAATTATGTAAACTTAGATAATTATGGTCAAGTAGTTTCTATATTGTCTATCTAAAGAATGTAACCGATTAAACTGTAAAATAGGCAGAACTACATTCACAGATTAAGCTGCTATTCACTTGTGTAATTTGTTTAAATAAATCATATTGATTTCAATTATGAAATATGTAATTTATTCGAATCTCAGTGCAATGAAATTTAATTGTTACGTAGATTCAATTTATTTATTTACGAATATATCATTGCATAATACAAATGAAATAAAACAGTTGAACTTTAAATAGTTTATTGTGTTTTATTGAATTTTATGAAAAAGTTTTATAATTAGGATCGTTGACTGATAGACTGTAAGATATCATAAATGCTTATTTGTTGGCCCAAGTTACTATATTAGATAAGCAGGAAAAGATGAAACTAACAAAATAGATCGAAACGATGTAGAAGCAAAGATAAAAAGAAAGATCAGACCGTGGAAATACGATATAAAAGACGGGATTCAAATGTCTGTATGAAGAGGTACTGGGATTTAAGATTAGGAATGCATCAGCGCTATATTGAGTGAATCACATAAAATTTTCAGCCAATGATAGTGACTATCACACAGAGCACAGCCACGTAATCTGTATCTATCAAGATGGCTCAAACTATCAGTCGACTATTTAGTGAACTGACTCCACATTTCGGTTACTTCCTGCTAGCTTCCTCCCAACCTACTCAGCTATCATCATACATCTAGGTGTTTAGTGGGTGGGCATATGTAATATATGTTCTAACCATAGCGGTCGATAAAAATCCATCACTTTTCAATTTAGTTGCGTTAATTACCTATCACTCTGTATCTAATGTCAGAATTGCTAACTCGATGGTCCCCAAATGTTTAAGAGCTATACTTTCAAGACATCAATAAATATTTGAAACCTTATAAACTGATTTTCCACCAAGTACCTTATGTCCAGCCTCAACATTCCTAGTGTTTGTTGGTTGATCAATTTTCATACAAGCTAATTACGGCATAAATAAACACTTCAAGGAAACTACATCGTCCAAATTCTATTTGTTAATTCGACAGGATACTATTTTCTTAATAAGAAACATTTTACAAGCAAAGCGTTTGTCATTTTAAGTCAACTTATATTTGTGAAAAATTGTTTTTCTTAAGGAACTTCAATAAGCCCGAAGTTGGAATTCAACTAACGGACGTCAATCTAGAGTCAGTCAAAAGTTGTTCCAAATAACAATGGACTAGTAAAAACAGTGGATTACTGCATTTATTCGAGTAATAAAAGTGACACTGTTAAGACTAGGTATTGAGTAAATGAATGTTAGTCTTGTTATAAATTGATAATTATCAGCAGTTTAACTCAAATTAGGTCTCATATCTTGTATATACAATTCGCTTAACTTAGTTTCTGTATTCCAATATTAGAAGCCGATATAAAAATCAATTATTCAGATCTAAAATGTTTCTATTCATTTTGATAAATGAACATAATTACTGTATAGTGTTACATTTCTCCTCTTAATAATAATAATAGTGAAGCAGCTTTCATGATTATTTCAATATGTGTTATATCATATAAATAACCAGTTAGTCGTTATATTTGATGCAAAAAGAGATTTTTCGATGTGATCACTCATATTAGCTACTTCTTTGAGTTTTGTTTCCAACTGTCGACTTTTAAGTTCAACACTTCTCTCATGTTGTTGATCATCAGATTCGTTCATCATGAATGGAAAACTGGAAAAATTCAATTGAGGCCATGTGTTATTAGGAAAATTCATTTTTTCAGTATTAAAATCCGTTTCATTCGAATGTAAATTAATCGTTCTATTTTCTGTCTTGATTTTTAATTCAACATCTAATGAGGAGTTTGTATTCTGGTCTTTTAGCAAAGAATTTAGAAACGACTGATTAACATATTTGAACAGTTGTTCTCCATCTAAATTCTCAGATGTATTATAGGAATCATTTCTAAAATATATGAATATATGTGTTCTGTTGTAAACAAATCTATGACTGGATACATGTAAAACAACTAGCAAATAAAAATGTAAAATATTCATTTTCGGAATGTTTCTTCTGATGAAGTGTTAATTTATGAGGGTGAAATCAGTGAATAGCATATGCTGTTATATATTTATATACATATGATCATGTGATAATCAAATCTCCATATCGGAAATTATTTCAGATTTAAATCATTCGTTTCAGTTAGATCAAATGAAGCAGCCTAATTGAGCATCCATATTGTAATTTATTAGGAATTGGCTGAAGATAAGACTTAAGAATAATTATAGAGACATATATACTTTAATGAAAATATACCCAAAATATGATATCCGGCTATTTTATTCACTATGACAAGAGTGACACTATTTAAGAGAATACAAGCATGAAATCTCTGATATTTTATTCTGAAAAACTTAGATTATTTGAAAAGTTAGTTTATATTCTAGATTAAGGATTAAAATGTTCATTACATACTTAAACATGAGGCATTTAGCTCGTTGAACCTTAACACTTAAGTATAATTACTCAATGTTCTATTAAAAATATTTCGCAGTTATGTCATTCTAACTATATTTTTTCATACAAGCGTAACATTAATTTATAATCATACATGTAATCTAAAAGTTATTACTTTTAAACTATGCAAACGATTATATCTACTCAGGATAGAGTTCGACGGGGAATGCTGGTAGGCGGTCTATGCTCCTTCATGAGGGGTAACGAACGTAAGTAAGTAAACCATTTTATCACCTAAATATTCATCTTATATTTTCATTCCTCGATTATTCTGATTACAGCCGATTGCCTCTACAATAGGAATAAACATATTATTAGGTCGAATATTGAACACTGAACAAAACATATTCGGTGTTTAATTTAATTACAGAGATAGATAGATATATGTGAAACTTTTTCAAATGGTATGCACTTTAGTTAACAAACTAGAATTATCGTTTGATTGGTAATAACAAGACTTTATGAGAAGTAACTACTATTAACTAATTGATTAGTGTACTTTTTTAAAAGATCAACTGTATACATTTACAAATATATTGAAATTATCTTGAAATTATCAGTATGAGAATTGTAGTATTTTCACTGTTGAATTCCATCATGGCAATCATTCTGTTGAGTTTTGTATTTTAAAAATTTCTGTTTTAATTTAGAATATTAGATAAAGTTGTGGTTGTGGAAATTGTTGAGTTTGTATTGAGATCATGAATCGATCAATGTTAGACCACCATTGAGAAGCTAAGAGCATTGGATGGCCATTTCGTCCTAGTACGGTTCTGCACACAAGTACTCAACACCATCCCTTACTCACCATTCAAACACAGCACATTCAGTCTCACATGTGAACTCTTAACATTTAGACTACTGAGCCATCATTCAACGGTGTTAATGTTTGACTTCAACCAATGCACGAAATTGCACAACCATGTTCCATTGTCTTTGGTGAGTAACTGCCTCACACCCTACACGGATTGAACTCCACTGGTCACGGCTTCTCACCAAAGTTAAATAGTACAAACATTCGAACTAGTTCATAAACTTGAAATGTTGAATATGAAATAAATTAAAACTTTAGAACAAAGAGAATTAAGCGATGAAAATTTTCTTTCTGACGAAATCAATTTATGATCCAATCACCTCTATCCTTCTATAGACATATATTTTCCATATAACTATAAATATGAATGTACAGCGTAAGTAAATGATCTCGTCGAATTCTTTTTATTTTTATTCAATGACTCAATAGATTATTTTAAAACTTTAAAAGTTTGTTTATATGAAAAAAAAATTCTTCTTGAATTTTATAACAGTGGTTATAAAGTTGTATGAAACATTCATATTAATGTAATTTAATGTTAAATTTCGTCAAAATTCAGCACCATCTTATGTACTGAATGAATGTGATTAAGTAGATTTACTATCTAACGAAAAGTTCCTGGATGAATTGGCTCAATTCTACATTCAATCGATGACAATTATGAGGCGTAGTTTTGTGGATTTCATAGGTTTTTTAACTTGCATTCTAGTCTGTCATTTGCGCTTAGTTAACATTGAATAAGTTCGTTTGGTACTTTTACAAAATATCATAATCAATTTAATAAATGTAAGAAGAATGGATGCTTTGTTTCAGAATCATTGTTAAAGGTCTATTCAAAACAATAATTTTGTGATATGTTATACTTATATCGACAGAAGTAGTATATAACGCTAGTCAGGAATAAAATGTCTGGTAGCAGAAAGTTCGAAGATCGAAGAGGAAAGAACGGAAACAGAAAACAATTGGTATGGAAATGCAAGAACAATGAAGTCTGAGACAGTTATTGAACATTTTGCAAATGGAGTATTAGTGTATAGTTTTTCTATTTTACCAAGTATGTGTACTCATCTGTGTTCCCCTTCACTACAATTTCACGTTCGCATAGGAAGCAGATGCTCATTTTCTTCAGTCGCTTTTTGAAGTATAATATTGCAAATTACGCTCAAAATAGTGCCACTTAAATAACATAGGTGTTCAAGGGAGACTTGATTTTAGTTACGAGTGATTAGCTGTAAAGTCCATGACGATTACTTTATTAGATGTAGGACACATTGGAAGGATATATAACTGAAACAATAGTATGAAAAAACCCATAATATGTTTTATTTTCAGTTTGGAAAAGATAGAGGGCTTGATTGCCTGTGTTAGTCCTGGCAACAATCGTCTCTCAGTTGACCCGACTTTCTTTGAAAGAGTCGACAGATGGAGCCTCAACCACGCACTGAAGTAATGAGTTCAACTCGTTGATGATTTGATGGGAATGTCGATAGTCAGCTGACAAGTAATTTGTTCTGGGCTTGTGAACTTTTTTAGAGTGTCCTCGTAAATTCTCTGTTTTGGAAGACAAGAAAAATGAGGGCATATCAGGTGCGAATTTATCACTAAGCAATTTGAAAGCCGTAATCAAGTCGCCTCTAGTTCTCCGATATGACAACGGGAATAGATTTAGCTTGGCGAGTCGAGCATCATGCGGGAGCTTCGCTATTCCGGCAATCAGCTTGGTTGCTGTTCTCTGAACCTTTTCCATAAGCTCACTGTCATTATTTAAGCATGAACACTGTATACAAAGTTTAAAGAAGTTTTAGCGTCGACATGACTATAAGCCCTACGTATTGACCATAAAGTTCTAAAACTTTGGCGGCTATTGCACGGCATTGTGCAGTAGTCTTTAATTCTTGGATAATGATGACCCCTTAGTTATTGTGTGTCTAGACAATAGGTAGCTCAGTGTTGTTCATCATGCATGTATCTGTACCTTGATGATCAATGTGCATCACAACACTTGGAAGTATTTACCGGCAACTGCCAAGTTAGAGACCATTCAGATAATTTCTCCAGATCATTTTGAGTTCTAAGTTATCACCCTTACTTCGTATCCTCTCCATCTCTTGACATTGTCAGTATATGGCAAGACTGATGATGATAGGAGGAAGGTCATGTACAAACAGGAGGAATAACACTGGCCCCAAAACTATACCCTGGAGCACTCCACTAATGAGCACAGTTTCCAGTTAGACAACTTGGAATTCACCTGTACTCTTTGTTGGTGTCCAACTAGGAAGTCTTTTTATCTACATCAATAGATTTACTATTAGAATAATCATGACTTATAAAAATTTAGTAAGAAATAATTAATAATATAAGCTTAATATCAGAAGGGGTTTTGTGGAGATTGTAGTAATTTCAATAGTTGAGAACATGAGTTAATTGAAGCTAGACCACCATGGAAAACGTGGAAGCACTGGACGGCCGTTTCGTCCTATTCATTCCCGTTATTATAATCATTATACGGTGAATATTCATCATAACCTTCATAATTTCCATGTGAATAATAATCATTATATCTATCCGAACTTGGTCTAGTTGGTTAAGCGCTCACTCGCGAGACTGACAGGTCCTGGGTTCGAGTCCCACGAGGTGGGGTCGTGGATGCGCGGTGCTGAGGAGTCCCACAATAGGATGAAACGGCCGTCCAGTGCTCCAGGTTTTCCATGGTGGTCTAGCTTCAACTGACTCACGATCTCAACTATTGAATTAAGCTTAATACTTTATATTATCAACTTAAGGTATATACTAAACTAGATCACAAATTACTATTCACATGTATATTTTATTTAAATAAATCATATTGATTTCAATTATGAAATATGTAATTTATTCAAATCTCAGTGCAATGAAATCTAATTGTTACGTAGATTCAATTTATTTATTTACGAATATATCATTGCATAATACAAATGAAATAAAACAGTTGAACTTTAAATAGTCTATTGAGTTCATTATTGTTATTATTGTTTATTATTATTATTATTAATATTATTACTATTATTAACCTTATCAATTTATTAAGTAAATAAGATTTGTGCTTGGATACAGTGAAATGATGAAATTTATTTGGTTTTTATATTTTTCCACATTGGTAACATTAATTTTAGTAATGAAAAAGATTATTTCTATAAAGAATTTTATCCAAGTTCAGATAGATATAATGATGATTATTCACATGGAAATTATGAAGGTTATAATGAATACTCACCGTATAATGATTATAATAACGGGAATGAATATAATTACTATTTGAATGATGGTTATAACAACTATGATTATAATTATGAAGATTATTCACACCATGAATATGATGACAATAAAGAACCAAGAGGACATGACGAACACTCTGACTATAGATACCCTCCAAATCCCCATGATCACTATGAAACTAATGAAGGAAATAATTATGATGATAAATATCCTGATCATTATAACAATCTTGATTATTACAATAATTACAATGTTGGAGATCATGATAATCATCGAACTTCAGATCATAATAATCATCAAACACGGGGACCTGATTATCATGCTTATCAAAAACACGAAAGAGATACGTTCAGATATCAGGACTATGTATTAAATCATTGGAATAATCACAAACCATATACAGATTATGAATATCAATATTACCGAGTGAAACCAAATCATTATGATGAGTATTCGGATAACGGTGTAGGAAACAATAAACCTAGAGGAGAAAATCCATCCCAACGTACTACTATGAAACCTGATACTGATGATTTTAATTTTTGATACAGAACTTCTTATATAACAACATTATTTATTTTTCTCTAAATTGATGTATTGATAATATAATATCATAAGATTATGTATCCATATTTTAGGTTGCGCAATAGGTTACTGCTATCCATCTTTTTATTATCCATAAAGCATATAATATATCATTTGTCTTCTTAATTGTTTATCAGTGAGATGATAGCAACCGATGGTTAGAGACCTTGAATGATATGGCTGAAAATCGTTTGCAATGACACAGGTGCATCCACTCTTTGTGTTCTCCCAAATTCTAATCTCCTGAATCCTCCTTGTCTCTTTTTTCTCTTTCCAAATTTATTACACTGGATTATACTCCTTGGATAACATCTTCAAACCCAAATATTTCCGATTACTGCTTATACTCTTACTACGTCTACCACTATAGGATTTAAATCGACAATTGTATTTGTGTGCTAATGTGATATGGCAACTCGAACTGATTTACGCACGTACGAAGTTCTACGTTGTTACTGACTGACTGACATCAGTGTAAAAGATGATACAGAGATATTCCATTTAGTTGAATAAATCAATATTATACATTGTTATTGTAAATTACGTAGATCTTTGAAATTTTCATTTGTGATAGTAATAGTTTATTTTGTTGTTATGCATTATCTTTATCCTATTTTAAGATAACACTTCATTATCCTATTTTTATTCATCCATAAGCTGAATATTTAGGTTCATTATTTGACAGATATTCTTTTGATATAATTTGAAGTGAGTAAAAAAAAGAGAAAAAAACCTGATCAGCAAGATGACTTATGTAGTTTTATGTTGCCTAAAATTTATTGATTTATGAAAACTGAAAGTTAATATTGTTTTTCGATTCATTCTATTATGCATCATTTATTTTAAATCAACAGGTAGTTTTTTACATTTGATATGTAATAAGATAGTGTGATTATTATATTAAGAGGGTGGTCTGTGGACAATTCGAATTTCAATCAATATGTTATAGGTTCGAACCACTTTTAGTTTGAGGAATTAAGTTTTACCACTATCTATCACACTTGAAGTATGGTTCAGAGATGAATGTACAAATTTGATCTTGTTATTTATTTACATAAAGGTTTACATCAGGTTTATTGATGAATAAAACTAGACAAACGGCCGTAAACATGAGTGATTATGCAATAAGAGATTATTGTTCCGTTTTTCAAAAGTTCAAGCAATCAACGATGTTGAGCGACAGTCTTTTGTTGTATTAGGTGAGTATGTGCCTCACACCCGACACGGTTGTACTTCATTGATTACGGCTCCTCCATAACCATATATTGATAATTATTATTTGCTGACTAGTGACTAGATTCGAGAGAAAATTCTCGGAGTTCTAGTGAGAAGCCGTGACCATTGTAGTTCAATCCGTGTAGGGTGTGAGGCAGTTACTCATCGAAGACAATGGAAGATCTTGTGCGATTTCGTGGATTGGTTGAAGTCAAACATTAACACCGTTGAATGATGGCTCAATAGTCTAAATGTTAAGAGTTCGCGTGTGAGCGTGAATTTTCTTGGTTTGATTGGTGAGTACGGGATGGCGTTGAACACTAGTGAGGAGAACCGTCCTAGGACGAAATGGCCATTCAGTGCTCTCAGGTTCCCTATGGTGGTTTAATATTTATTGGTTCATAATTTCAATGGAATTCAACAATGTTCACAGCCCCAAACTGAGATTTTTTCAAAAGAATATACTATTCTTTCTTTGATCTTATTGTGTATTTCATCCATCACTTCACCATGAGTAACCGTTAACCCAAACAATAATTCAAATCTTCTCGTCGATGTCAAGTCGAAACTAATGTCGAGTTTCAGAAAAGATATACTTTAAACTAAATTGAATTTCATCAAACATATTTCATCGACATATTAAGGAGCATTACACAAAGGTTAGGTTAGATCTTTCCAAAAACCTAAGTGATTCATTTGACACATATTCTAGAAGTACAAAAAACAGGGAGAAACAAGTAAAATATCGATCTATTCAAAGAGTTAGGCAATTATACATTTCATTCTGATTATCCTGGAGTGTTGTAACGTGTGTGACTTGCAGGTTTTGATAAGTAGCGTAATTATTGATCGACCGATTACAGTGACACGGAAAACACGTAAGGACGACCTAGTGCCCTGATTAGTCCCGCTTCCCTGTCTAACCCAGCCAGTTGAGTCAGGAACACAAGTCACAGCCTCTGAGTTATGAATCATTATATTTCAAACATACTTTGTTTATATACCAATCAAGCATACCACATCGTACCATAAAAATAGAAAACAACATTTACACAATATTAAACAAGTGAAGTAAACATCGACCAATAAGAAATGTACATTTAAGGTCCAAGGCCACCATAGACTTAACACGATAATTATTGGTATATTTTTCCGACTATCCTAACATGGAGACTGTAACTAATAGTATTTTTGCCGATTCTTCTGTTAATCCAATTAAGACTGAACTAGATGTCTTACCATTAGAATTAGAAATTTTTTGTAAGATTCAGATATATGATTCACTTAAAGACAAAGTTTCAGCTACGGAATCTATTTATCCAGATATAAGAATTGGTAGTTCTAACAAAGGTTGAATTATAGAGATTTAAGAGCACACTGATTGACTTTTGTAACTATTTGAAAAGCAACACCCATCACACAAATAGTATATTGACTAGAAAACATTGAGAACCCATAAGAAAACTAAAATCCAAAGACTTCAATAGTCACGAAATTTAATAAAAGATCAGATATTGTAATTTCAAACAAGATTATTAAAATGGAAAGGATGAATCTTCTGGCAACTGATCAAACTAAATTTTTAAGATTTGGATAATGTAAGAACCTGACTGAAAAGACCAAGTGTCAGCTAACCACGACATTGCAATTTATCAGTCTACCTATGTACTAAGACCATAAAGGCATACTCCACAACTATATGATCTACTCAAATTTTAAAAACCAGGGTTTCCTTTATGTCCGATTCTAGGTACGTTAGAATCACTATATCACTCAACAGTAAAATAGTTCATGAAATTGTTCGAATCATTACACCAAAACTTGTTGCAACGCAGTATTGATGACGTAATAGGACTCGTGGATGTAGTAAAAACTATGGATTCAACAGATAACACTATGTCATCTCTAGACATAATATATATTTATTTAAAATAATCCGCTTACCGAAACAACCAATTACATACGCGAATAAATTCTAAAAAAAACAATAATACTAGTCATGAGAGAGGAAGTGAAGAAGCTTCTGCTTAACCTCTAAAGCTAAATAGATGGTTCTATTGGGAAGATTTCATTGTCATTCTAGATAATATGACTGATATTTTACCTTTGTAAGTTTTGTTATCAGCATTTATTCTTATATTTCTGTGGATTTTCTCATTCGGTTGATTTGTAAATACATGGTTGACTGACAATTTTCGTATGGATTATTAGAACGAATTGAAAGAAAGCTTATGGAATACGTAAAAAGCTTACTGCGTCCATGATATTACCCAGAGTGTCAGTGAATGTTTTGTAATTAAACTATCTAGCTTAAAAAAACTACCAGATCAACCACCTTAAGTTCAAGTACTCTTCGTCATTTCAAAGAGGACACGGTAATTGAAGATGGAGAAGTAAAAACTTTGCACCTAAATTTTAAACAAATTTGAACATATTCACTATTTAAAGACATTCAATATTGTTAGAAATGATATCATTATCAATCTAAAACCATTCTTAACACCTAGCAGGGCTTGGTCGAGTGAAACAATCAGAAATTACATAACTCGTTTGTAAGTATTGAATAAATCCTAGCTAGTATTTAAATTTTTTGCGGCATCGAATAAATTGTCACTGAAAGTCCAATCATGTCAATCAATGAATGAATATAAATACTATTTAAAAAGAACAGTAATGAAGTATTTTAAGCAAAGATGGATAATGGCTAGCAGTGGAATCTCTGCTTAAAATGCTTGTGATTTAAGGCTATATCGAAGCAATACCCACAGGATGCACATATGCCAATAAGAGATTGATCAATTGCAGTCCTATATAACAATGGGAAGATACAAGTAAAACAACACCAAGTGAATTTAGTAATGAAGCATGTTTGTATTTTATTCCCACAAAATGTTATCTTGCTAAATAAAGAAAGAATGATTGATAATAATTTTAATTGAGTACTTAAGAGTTCTAATTATTATGATTTAGAACAATATATATAAGCGAACAATTTTGTTTTCGATTAAATCCTCATAAGGCTTTACGCTAATATACAGTAATATTTATATGCATATACGAAATTATTAAACCAATCAAGTCAGTTTATTGAGTGAATGATAACAGTTGAATAGATTACATAGATGAGTGTAAAGTAAAAATTGGTAGTGTGATGACAAGTGTACTAGCTGTGATAAGAATAATAAAGGTTTGAATCAGTGTTACATAATAGGAAATAGGTCAGTGATTATAAAAATATAGACACTGTAATAACATTCATAGAATGATTATAAGATTACGTAACAAGAAGTGTTCAGATAATTGGACTGTGAAACATATATTTGAGAAAAAAGGAAATGGTGGGATGGTGTGAAGAAAAATAAACGAAGAAAGAGTACGGAAAATAATAATAAATAAAATCACTTATTAACGCCAAGGGAGAGATAAAGGTATTACAGACTTCTTATGAACACAAAGACTTGGATTGTTAGCTCGAATTCCTATGGCTTCTGCTATGTGTAAGAGGCGAGATCGAATCCCATAACGAAAACTAGTAGGAATACGATAAATAACTTTAAATGACTTATTTTTGTTTACTACATGACTGCCATCGATCAAGTGTGATAGAACCAAGCTGTGTATTATCTTGGCAGTACTTTTTCCTAACCACGAAGGGAGGTGTTCACTAACTCTTTGGCTAAGTTGTCTGGTAGTGCGCCCAATATCGCTTTCTCCACAGAAGCAGCTAAATTCGTAGATAGATATAGAGGCGGCGTAACCAGGTAACTTATCCTTTGGCTGAGGAGTACGGTAGACAGAAGTTGGCTGCATTAAACGTTCTCTTCACTACTCTAGTCAGTCTACCACGTAACACATCACCAGCTACACCTTCATTGAAATGCACTTACA